TGTCTGAACAGTCTCTCAGTACTCCTGCTCATCTGTTCCTCTCTTTGTTGTTTCCCCATCAGCGGTATCTGCTGTCAGAGGCAGAGGAGCACCACCAGTTGTTTGACCTCATTGAAAGCATGTTGGAGTATGAGCCCTCCAAGAGGCTGGTGCTGGCCGACTCCCTCAAACACCCTTTCTTCGAGAACGGGGGCAGCGAGGCGGCAGGCAGCAAGACCTGGGAGGGCAACCGGGACATCAGCCGGTGACCCACGAGACTCCAAAGACTGAGTGACAGAGGAGATCAAGTCCTTTCTATGTGGAGCAGCTGAGCTGTTGAATGAATCCAAGGCCTCAGAGGTTTTCCGTTGTTTGTCATTAAAGCATGGACACCTAAACTTCGCGCTCCTCCACCTCGCCCCTCTGACGTCCACCTCTGCAGCCACAAGAGACCAAAACATAAACCACAAAAGACTGGAAAAGAGGCAAATTCATCTTTTCTAGTGGTCACCGCCTCAGCAGAGGCCGAGAAATCTTAAATGGAAGATTGTTTATATCCAAAGTAGCCCTCTATGCAGCTCTTGTCTTCCTTTTGACTTCTGAAACACCTTCCTTCCTTCCTTCCTTCCGTCCGTCCGTCTATAGTTTCCATCAGCATGTAAAGAAAGAAATAGTTCACTTCTCTAAGGTAATAAGCACTACTACAGCCAGTCATAAAAAAAAAGAAGAAACAACTCAGTTTTGGAGAAGAAACGTCTTCCGATTCTGAAGTCCAAGGAAAGGGTAAAAAGGAGATAGAGCTGTATACGCAGCGCGAGTCCTCACCCACGTTCTTTTAAACATGAAGACATGCAAGGTATTCTATTATCCTAACATCAGGTCATTGGAATTCAATATCAGATTTCTTTGGGAATTGCAAGTATCTCCAGCAGAGGCTAGCGTCTCAAATTTTTGTTTACGTTGTCATGTGAGCACTTGCATTGCATCAAAATTTTTCCTGTTTCTTATTTTATGTATAAAAGGAATTTCCCATATATGGAGACTCTGAATCTCCGGTCGGTGGGCCTGGTATTATTGGCCGGTGAGAGGATAATGGTGACGGACACTCCAGTCACACGGGCCTCTGTGGCCTGTCTTATTGATAAATATATATGTTTATGTTTTGCAATGCTTTCTGGGTGTGAGTGTGTGTGTGTGCGAGTGCGCGTACGCGTGTGTGCATGTGGGGGTGTGGATGCAGTGGGTGACACGTTCATGTTTAGCTCAGCATTAGTCATGGGAACATTCTCGTACATTTTAACAAAAAAACTGCCTTTTCCATGTTTGACGTGGTCAGACCTGAAGTCTCTCCATTGAGGTTAAGCACACGGCTCCTGTTGACGGTATTTATTATGAGTTACAATAGGTCATAGTCCCCACCGCCCACCTGTACATGACTTGTTTTTTTGTATGAAATTAAAGCGTATAAAACTGTATATATGTATTATTGTGTAGAATTAAAGTCCTCCTTGCCAAAGGCTTATGGTGCTCTAGTATCAGTCTGGGCCTCTGGTAGCTCAACGGAGGCGTTCTGTCTTTTAATAACACCATGTGTCTGAGTCCGTCTCTTACCTCACTGCTGGGCGATGTGCGATGAGATTACATCTGAGATGCCTGAGTGAACAAAAGAAAAACGGTGACTGTTTTCAAAAAAAACAAAAAAAAAAACCCCTCTTACGATCAAACCAAGAGTGCATTCTGCTTTTAGATTTGCTAGTACAGCTTTGGAAAGATGTCACTGCTGCTGGATGTGCAGTCAGACGGTTCACAAACTCATTTTATATTTTGATTAGGGTTTCAAAATTGCCCTTGTTTTCACTCTAAGTGGTTTCTAATCTCTTGAATTGAATATAACTCTTAAGCTTTGCCAGAATGATTTATTAAAACCGAATCATTAGGCCTTTTTATTTTTAGGCCGTCACATGTAGCGCTATCGAATGCATTCCACTACTAGTCCTATCTCATTAGTTAATTCCTGCAGGGAACTAATCTCTCTTTCATTCCTTTCCAAAAATCTAAGCTCAGCCGCCACCTTGTCGAGACCAGACAGAGACGGAAACACAGACGATCTGCTGCAACAGGTGCATCTATGCATGTGTGGGATTCACCATCTGTCGGTAACGTGCCAGTTTACTGTTGCTTCATTAACCTTCCTGGCTGTGCCCATTCCTTCTCCCTTTAATCCTGCCCATGAATGAGTCATTTTGCTCCTACTTTACTGTTTCTACAGTGACTAAAATTAGGACCCTGCTATCCCCCCAAAACAAGTAATACAGGACCTCTGGATTAGTAGGAATTGTGATTGATTGACTCAAAGATGTTCAGTCCAGCTGGAGCTGAAGGTTCTTGCTCAGTTTGATTGTTTGCTTTGGTTCCATCAACTCTACCAGAGAACTATAAAATGGTAGACGAGCAGATGTGTTGTAATACAAGGTTTGACATTATGCTTGCAGCTGAGGAGGATCTGAATTTTACTGGTAAATTTGGCATTTTTCAAGTCTGGAATTTAATCACTATATAAAGAATGGACTGTGTTTGTTGAATAAGTTTCCTTCTGATGTGCGGACAGAGCGGAAATCAGCCTCCTCCAGACTCAGCTTCGGTTCTGACTGTACTGAATGAATGAAGCAGTGAATGAAATGAGTCAGACGTAGGCGCCGAACATCTCAATGAAACTTCTTTGGAGGAAAGGAAGAAATCCTGCCTGCGTCATAAAAGCGTCACCGTCCGTCTGTCAGTCTGTACACGCTGTCTGGCTTCCTCTGACACTTTATATATATATATAATCTCAACGGGTCACTTCAGGTTACTGCTGCTGAATGTGAGAATGCTGCCTTTGAACCAAGGAAACCCTCTAACTATAAACTTATAGGAGCTATTTCAGTGGCCAAATGTGAACAAGCAGCTGTTGCCTGTGCTGGTTTGTGTGGGACTACCCCGTTGGTAATGCCATAAGCCACGCTTGCGTCTTCAGGTAATCCTGTTCGAGGACTAGTAAGGTCATAAGTCAAATCCCCATAAGAGCGGACAGTGACTGAGGTGCTCACAGGTGCAGGAACTGAAGCACTGGGAGCAATGCATGGAATGGCTTTGCAGCTTTAATGAATGATACTATCAGCTGATTGCGTCTACAGGAGATACAACTCGCAGGTCAGTGTTGATACTTACTGAGGGCATGCACAGGGTGTTGCACTTTTAACCTGCATATGATGTGCATTAATTGTTATTCTTTTCTCTTTCCAGATTGCAGCCTCATAAAGACTTCTATCCTGAACTTTCAGAGCGCTCCGGTGTCTAATCCTACACATTGTCATAAAGCTCAGGATAAATCACCTGTTTAACGGACAAACGTCGACACATCCCTGGAGATGGATTCGCTCATGTCGCTGGGTGCTCCCCTCAAGCAGTTCACCCGCTGCGTATCAGGGAAGAACGCCCCCGCGAAGGGAGGCACCAAGAGGAGCCAGTCGGTCCGCAGGAGCAGCTTCACGCGCAGGAAGAGCGTCAGCAGGAGGAGAAGCCTTCCCTGCAGCAGCCAGAAGGTCCCGGACTCCTGGCTCAGGTCGTACCAGGCCGAACTGAAGAGAGAGAGGTACAGAGAAAGACCACATTAGTGCAAAACATGAGAAACTATTAAAACTATGGCTGTTATTTTGTCCTTCAAGTATAAATATTATAATTAAATCTGCAGGATTTTTTTCTTTTCTGAGAATTAGATTTGTTACTGCAGTTATTTAAAAATAAAAAGATTTAGTTGGGATTTTAGAATGTTCAGTTACTGTGGTGTCATCCAGCTGAGACTCTTGGCCAGACAGCCGTGGCTTAACGAGGATAAGACTGTTCCTCACATGAATAAGCTCCTTTCCCATGTGCTGTGTCTAATGTTGCCCCGTGCCGTTTGCCAAAGGAAACGTCAGCAAGCCATCCTGGCCAAGAAGAACGCCGAGAGGACTGTGAGAAGAACTCACTTCAGGAGCCACCACTGCCTCCCAAGGGTGAGTGGACAAATACATTAACATGAGATTAAGATGCTCTGCTTGTCATTTGTCTAAATCCAACAATCTTGGCCCTCTGCAGCAGACCGCCGGGGCCAGGAAATCGGCTCCAGTAAAGGACGATTCCTTCTTTGGAGCCTTTCAGGGCCTCAGTCTGGACGGACTGATGGGAGGCGCTAACGGGTCGCCTGCTGTCGCTGCTCCTACAGCAGCTGGAGGAGATCCATGCAAAGTCATGTGAGACGCAGCATATGAAGGACAATTAGACTTTTTGAATGAGCTGCAATACTTGAAAGATTCCCAAAGGAGACTTGATGGAGAACGGTGAAGTGAAAATAAGACAGATTCTCACCTGACAACCTGAGAAGGTGCAGATTAAGTACTGTGTATTTCCTTAAATATGTTTTCTTTAGCACACACATAATGCTTGTTCTTGCTTTGTTGACATTTGTTGTATGTAAGAATCGTTGCACTGTTTCTGTCTACTTGTTCGCTGAATGATCAGAACTGTTGTCCAATATTATGGTTATAAAACTGTGAAAAACTGCTGATTCATGGGTTTTCATTTCTTAGTTTCTGCTTTGAAACCAACTTCTGATTTTGAACACTAAGAAAGTCAAATTATTTTCATCAATCTTTCCAAAACATAAACAGGAAGCAATATACAACCAACACCAGTGAGGTTGTTTGGTGGTCTCATTAACAACATTGTAATGAAACATGTAGAACTAACAGGGGTATCGAGACACTAGCTTGCATTTTTCCTGCAGACTCAGAACACAACGCTGAACATTTCTGTGAGCCGGTAGCCTGTCCAGTTCTGTTTTACAGGTACTGTGTGTAAATCCAGTAAAAGCTTGTGCAAAGAACCTATAGTTCAATCTAGTTCCTCAAAAGCATTACTGCTACATCCCTTCAAATATCCAGCTCCCACATCCTCGCTGTGAGGTGAAAACTTGACACTCAGCTTCATAAACCACAGTCAAGTCGGCTTGTTAAGACCAAGCTTTATTTAGTTTAAAAAAAAGAAAAGAACAAAAAGCAAAAATAATGGCAAACCACATTTTTTTTCATCAATTACATAAGTGGAAGATGCATCATTTCTTACACGAGACAGTTATGATCTCTGGCTCCAGGTCACAAATATGTACATTTAGAAAACCAAGTACAAAACTACGTTTTGTCAGGGTCAGGATGAGGAAGCTGTCGTGTGACGCGTATCCCGGTGACTGTGTGATGAGGATTACACAGCTGACTGCAGACGACGAGGTGACGATACACAGAACTGGGTTTTGTTGTTTTCAACAGTGGATTTGAATCTAGTGAAGTGTCCAATTTTACAGCATCATTCCCTTTGTTCCATCTTGACTTTCGGAGGCTTGAGGAAGGACCTGTTCTTTTTCTCCTTGCTCTTGCCTTTAGCCTGGAAAGTCCTCCAGCTGTCCACACGGCCGTCTCTTGTTTCCTGATGTTAAAAATAAATGATCAATTAACGGTGATGAATGCGACGTTCAGAAGCAGCGCTACGAAACAAACGTTCAGGAAATATTGAGAATGGAAAGACCAACGTTCCCTTGTTTCTGTTTTGCACTTGGCTTAAATAAAACGGCACTATTTATGGAACATAAAGCTGAAAAAAAAGGCTGTTTTGTAAACGACAACTTTTTTTATCATTCTTGTCACTGCATGCCATAAAGAGCAACAACAACCAGAACGTTTTTTCTTTTTTAAATTCTATGGCTCAAAAAAGGACAGTATGCTGCTTTGTGAAAATTCTTTTTTTTTTTTTTTTAAAACTAAACCATGTGAAACTCTGATTGCAACAGACGTGACCACTGACACCATTGCTGCATTATATCTTCCCTTCTGCTAATCTCATGCATAGAACCTTTAAGACACACCAAAAGCTTTGATCATCATGTTTACGTATTTAAGTAACCATGAGAGATGGTACCTCAAAGTTTTTCTGCCATTCTCTCTCTCGCTTTGCTTTCTCTGCCGCCTCGATTTCTTCCTCTCTTGCCCTTTTCCTTGAAAATTAGACAAAAATGCAAGAAATTCATGAGACTGTGAAAGAAAATGATTTCAAAAGCAAAGCATGAAGAGACATTTAAAGGAGCAAAACGAGGTGAGCCTCAGAGTCTTATATAGTAATTTACCTTTCATGCATTTCCTTTGCTTCCCTTTCCTTCCTCTTGATTTCCAGCTCTGCGAACAGCTTCATGGTCTGTTTATACACCGCTTGTTTGAACTGGGAAGAAAAAAGAAGTTTGAGTAAAGTCCCATATTTATTTTCAACACTGTCTAATTATTTATATGTAACACTGACTCACCAACTCTGGGTCGTCCTCCTCAACGTCCTGTGGTTTGCCGTCTTTCTTCAGCTGTTTTCTTTTCTCTTTTACCTGTCGAATAAAATCAAACATTAGATGCTGATGTAACACGGAGCAAAAACAAGCATGATATGGTTCTGGAGACCACTCACCATATGCTCCACGTATTCCTTTCCTGCATGGATCACATCTAATGCTCTCTTCTTCTGTTCTGGATCCAGTAGGAGTTTGTATGCCTTGTCCACAGCTGAAACACAATAAGAAATCCAGGTTGAATTAAAGATTTCTTTTATGAGAACATACGAAAGGAGAAAATCATTTTAGGACAGAAAACTGCACATACAGTGGCTACAAGGGTTTAATGACAGGCTTTAAAAATGTACAAAACACAAATGACCAGAAATGTAAATGTAAGAATGCATACCTTCGAAGGCTTTCTGTGCTCTGTCTGGGTCATCCTGATTTTTGTCTGGATGGACCAAAATGGACAACTGGACAGTTAAAGAGATCAAGATTAGGAATTAAAAACTCTCAGCACCTCCAGAAATAAATCGTATCTTGAAATGCCTCCAGTTTTCTCTAATCGGCTTCGCTTACCGCCCGAAATCTTTTCTTCAATTCATCATCTGTCGCCTCTGGATCAATCTGCAGCACCTGAAAATGACAGTTTATTAGGCATCAATAGCAAAGTGTCATAAGAACACTAGTGTGCTGAAATCTAGTTGTTAGAGTGATATCGCTTTGCCTCATGTCTTTGTCCACTTTGACTCCCAGTAGAGCTGTAATGTTGCTCTGTTTGAACCCTAAAAGGCCATGAAACTAACAGTGTGCTCAATCCCTGTTTGTCTTCTGGACATTATGTAGTTCGTCTGACCCAGCGTTTGTCAATAGTTTTAAAAATCGAAGCCGTCTGTCCTTGTGTGATGGAGACGATTTTGATGGAGTCTCATGTGGTGACGCGCCATCATGTTTAAATAAAGTACACTGTGAATATTGAGCTGGTAGAAATTATGATTAGACGTTTTCTTAATAGTTCAGACATGACTTTGACTGCAGTTATACGACAATAATTTGGATTTTCTGGCACAAAATAGTTATTTTAGTCACGTGTTAAGTAAAATCAGATTTTTATTTTTATGCTTACAGCCTTGGAGATTTGTCATTAAAATAGATTCAGTCAGATAAGGTATGTACTGTTATTCTAGACAGAACTATGTATGTAAACATATTCTTTCCTATAAACTAGCGATAATAAAATAGCTAATGTGTTTATTATTAATAAGTAGTCCTGAATGGATGCACTGGGTTACCTCGAAGGGGTTGAGATTGAAGTACGATGCTCCAGGTCTGAGTAGTCTGTCGATCTGCTGCTTGGAGGTTAACACAGAGTCTCTCTTCTCAATCTGCTTCACCTGTAAGATAAAAACACACAGAAGGGCCATGAAAACCTCCAAAATACAGCCAGAATTAGCCTGAAGCTATACTGTCCACGTAGATGTTCAATATTATTTTAATCCGTATGGGTGGAGGGACCATTCAGGAATGAAACCTGATGAGACAGGAGGACGCTTCATCTTTTCTGGGATCCTGACCTCATAATGTAAATATAAAACTGGTCAAGGCGTTCACTGACTGCACTGCAGCTGCTGGATAGACACCTTAAAGCACCCGCCTACAGAATAACTGACATTACGTCAACTGTTATCTATTCTAAGTGACTTGTGGTCACGTTAACTGAGAAAAAGAAAGCAAAAGCCGGGATAATCCTCGGCGATTTCGTGCTAACGCTGGAGCAGAGCTGCCCGGTGGACGTCTCAGTGAGTGTTAGCTTCTCGCCGTTAGCTGATGCTAACGTCTGCAGGGCCTCGTAGGTGATAAACACGAGAACCGTTGGCGAAGAGAGTTCGGCCGATGTCCGGAGAGAGATACAGACTTCACAAAACACAGGTTAACGTAAGCTCCGTCGTACCTCCGTGTAGAAGTTCTGAAATAATTCATCCGACACATTCTGAGTAGAGGGCTCTCCTCCGGCGGCCGCCATCTTCGATCTGGTTTACATGTGACGTAGGACACCACGTGACTACACATACATTTATTACAGGATTTGGTTTAATGCGGAACCGCAGTAATTTATTTTTAAACCACACTATTTATTCAATACGTCCATATATTAAAAAAGCACATATTAAAAAAAAAAATTAAATATTAATAAATAAAATGTAAGACACGTGCAACGCCCGATTCGCTGCGCAAAAATAAAACTGAGCTCGGTCCCACAACTGACTGAAAATTATCTATACGACGGATGCTAAACGTAATAAAGGAAACGTCGTGTTCTTATTTATCCTACTCTTAAAAAAATAGGCTGTCTCTTATTTTACATGTACAATATGGCTGCACTCCATTAGTGTTATGGACCTACTACAGTTTTAAAGAACCTCATTCACGTATTGTTCAATTTTTTCAGGTTTCTTCGTGCCTTGAGTTTTAAGTCCTGAACTTCCTCCACCCACTTGACACACCTCTGAACTCTGAAGCTTTTTGTGTCAGTGCCCCGCCCACTGCTGTATTTAGAAGCCCACATTCCAGCTGTTTGACCGGTGAAGCTCTCAATCAGAAAGCTGTTTAACATTTTATCTACTAAGCTTCATAATAAACTTCACAATCACTTTCCAAGAGGACCCAAATACAAATATCACAGTCCATGTGAAAAGAAAATGTAAATATGCACACAGAAGCATTTATTTAGGTAATAGGATGCACTCAACACTCGATTAGTTTCTTTCCCAGTGATTATGTGTTAAGGCTGGATAAGGAAGCGTCAGTCTGTGGGTCATGTGTCCAACTGTATCCTCTGCCCTGAGTGAAAAGACATTAAATGTGAGAATATTCAATAAATCAAACTCTTCACACCTCTGATGCATTCCAGTTTAGACTCCCCATTAAGATTTAATTAAGATTAAACTCCCAATTAAGACCGACAAGTTGAATAAAGCTTTATAAGACCAAATCTTCTCTGAATAGCCACTAATCCACAGTTATTTCTCACCTGGATTCTGCTGAGCCGTGACCAGGAAAGCCAGCTACTGCGAGGTTTGTGGACCTCAGTGATGCACACTTCCTCCTGCAGTGGGCCTGCAGACGCTCCCCGTGTGGAGAACACAGCTGTCCTGACTCAGTGCTAGAAAAAGGCCACACAGACAAGGACATGCTAACCAACCTCGTTAAACCAGTTTCCAAGCATCAGCATGATCATCAAACCCAACACACGGCCAGTAATACAGACTGCACTGGATTTTGTTAATCTAATAAATGCATCCCCAGTTTTATTCAGAAAAACAACTTACTGTCTCTGGGAAGTAAACGTCATAGCCAACTAGGACATCCAACATTATGCTTTAAAATATACGACGCCTAAAAATACAAACATGTTCAGTGTTAGTTGATAATGAACAGTCTTACCAATCAGTCCCTTCCAATTCTGTGAACTCATTCACATGGATGGGGGCAGCTCCTTTACTGCCTGGTGACAAGAGGCAACATATAAAGACAGTTCTGACATGAGAAGCTTTTTAAGGACACTCCAGGAATTGATGGCAGTTTATTTCTAATCAAAGTATACATCAACGACTATGCTTTCTGCTACGCTGTGGTCCCTACATTCACATCTTACCTGTAACATATAAATACTGTAGCCCTTCTACTGCCATCTTGTGGTGCTCAAGGGTAATGACATCAGTTTTGAGACGCACCCATTGTTCCAACATCAGCCAATTTCACACTATTCAACTCCGTGTCCCCACCGCCACTGGGATTAATTTAAAAAGCAGCTCGTCTAGTTGATATCAACCTACTAAATAACACGTTTTCAGCTCGTAACATGGCCAATAACCGCAGCGTCGGATAGAGAAACAATGGACCACTAGTGGAGCTGGTGTGGTGCTGCTACCTCTAGTGGCGTAGGAGGGGAAATGTCCATTCCTCCTCCAGCCCCAACCCCATTCAGAACGTGTGCAGACAGCTGCGGTGGTTTTGGTGCAGTAAGCCAAGTCGGGCAGCAGGTGTTTGCATGGTTTAAGATTTATAGCGGAGACCAAATCCTTGACTGTCAGCCTTCTGGCCGTTTAATCCAGTTTAATGAAACAGCCAATTGGCTTTTTATAATAGTGCATTGTTCTTCTGGCTTTAGGTGAAACATATTCACGTTCTCTAAACCCTAGAAAAATACTGGTAACAATTAATATTCCCACTGATTCTTCAGTCAATTTTAGTGACTTGTCTTTTTCATGGCCTGGAAAAGAAAAATCACACTCCTACCAGATAAAAAAAAAGCTTGATTCATAGGACAGCATATTAGTAAGAAAACAATAAAAACAATGTAAAATGATGGCTAATGTTTCTCCAGTGATTACATGTAGCTACAGGAGAGGAGACAGTACTCTGTGCAAGGCTAGCTCACCCTTGAGTACCGTTCAGGTGAGTTCCTCATTCTAGTGGTGCCGCTCTCAATGCTTCTCCACCTAGGCAGGTTGGAATAAGAGGACAGACACATGAAACAAAATACAATGACACCATGGCACCAAAAGGCAGAAGCTACAAACAGTTCTCTACGGTAAACACATTCTGACAGCTGATCGATGGATCGCTTGCTATGGCCGAAGGTGCGTTTTAAGAATTTTAACCCTTTGGATGTTCAGATCCTTGGTGTCTTCAAAGGGAGAGAAAAGATGGTTGAGATGATGCGCTGATTTTGGGAATGAAAAATTAACTGGAGACGACTCAGCACACAAGTAAAAAAGAAAAAAAAAGAAAAAAGTCCATTCCAACTCCAATGTGTGGCTCTAACTGATGTAAAGGTGTTAGCATCAGTGACGTCTCACCATCATCCAAAACTGTCCCCCGTCTTTAAAGGCAGTGTGAAGGTGTACAGAGTATAAGCTTCAGTAGATATCAGCCAATCGAGATAAACACTGTGCATGAGAAGATGTGCAGATGCACTGGAGCTGCAAGGCATAGAATATGTACAACTGTAAGAAGTCTGTGTTCACTCCAGCTGCTTTTATGATATTGCATCCAATAGAAAGGTGCAAAAATTGTCATCAAATATGTTATAAAGTGAAATAAGCATGCACATGAAATTGTTTTTCTTCCTTTTGTATGAATGGCAGGAAACAACATTTAATAAAAATAGGCTGAGATTTACTAAAGCATAGACTATATACCTGTGCACACAGTGTGACAGACAGAACAATCCTGGGTAATGGCAAGGAGTCACATTTACAGTTTGGTCCTTTAATCGTTGTTGGTATTGCTGTAACAAACACAACGTGACGTCTACGTGCAGGAAATTACTGCAGTCTGACATGCACTGAAGAATAAAGGGTTAAAATCCTGTTTAAACACTGCATCATCCAGACACCTTTCAAGTTCTCTTGTCCCGTTGTCTGACTGCACAATTTCAGTCTTTTAGGATTCTCCTTTGAGGGGAAAAAAATTTGACTTGGAAAAAGATGATCTTCTTTCAAATGTGAGAATTGTAGGTTCAAATCAAATACTGAACGACAACACTGAATTTGAGTATCTGACAATTGACTGATGCTCAGCTGAGTTTTATTGAAACGGAACAAACGTAAAAGTTATAAATACAAAGAACATCAGAGAACAAACTGCTATGGCTCTTAAGGTAGGCCAAACCAAATTCTACCGGGCAAGTTTAAAGAAAACATAGGAAGTTATGGTATCAGTTTTAAAAAAACACAATTTGTCTATCTCTAGAAATGCTAGGCATACACTTTGAACATTACAAAACTTTGATTTTCTTCCTTCCTGTGGATTCTTTTCTCCACCATTGCAAAAAATGAAGTATGAAGCTCTAACCATATGCATTTATTTACAAGCAAGTCCCTAAGCAACTATGAGAAACCACAAATAAAGAGAGTACAAGAAGGAGAGGGGAGGAGGGGGGCATGGACAAAAACTTCCTGCAAGGCAATATTCATTATTTAATGTCCTCTCAGACTTTTGAGAATGAATGTCCATTTTTTTGTAAATGTTCATTGTTGGCTTTAAAACAAACAGGAACAAAAAGTAACAATAAAAGTGTTTTTTTTGTGTTTTTTAAAGACACATGTCCCAATGTAACCGTAGGAGTAAGAAATGATTCACCACAACGGTTACGCTCATTTCTTCAGCCAAAAGGCTTTCCAGCCAATCATCTCGAGCCAATTCTGGGGCCTGTCCGTTTTTTCTGAGATATATGTACAGATTTTTTTTTTCTCGAGGGATGAAGAATAAAAAGTCAATCAAAAAATTGTGGCCAATCTCCTGTTTTTTTTTTCTTTTTGTTGTTGTTTTTCTCTTTTTTTGTTGTCACTTTGCCAAATACCTTTGGGTGCATCTACTTCCACTGCTGCCCATAAGAATCCTGTGAAAACTCCATGGTGTCATTACTGTAACCATAGTTACCGGAATAGTCGGCCCCTTGCTGCAGGGGCTGCTGGGCGATGGGCTGGGACCCCCAGTTCTGTTGGTTGTTGGTCTGGCGGCGCTTGGAGTCAGGCTGGTTAAACACGTCTGCCTTCCTCTTTCCGCCGACGTTCCCGCCGCGATTGCCCCGGGCCCCGCGAGGACCACGGCCCCTCTGAGGCTGGAAAGGGGCTCCCCGGCCTCCTCGGCCACCCCTCGGACCTCCAAGGGGCGGCCCTCTTTGGGCGTAGCCACCCCGGCCTCGTGCCGGTGGAGCTCCGCGAGCCCGAGGAGGAGGAGGCCCTCCCCTGCTGGGACGAGTGCCACGGCCCCTCATGCTGTACACATCTTCATAGCCGTAGTAAGGGTCTTCATAGCCACCACGGTAGTCATGATAATCGTAGCCATAGTAGTCATCATAGTAGTCCTCATAGCCATAGTAATCTGGTGGATAGGCATAGCCCCCTCGGCCACCACGACCCCTGCCTCTGCCTGGTGGCGGCATGCGTGGAGGTGGGTAGTAGTAGTAGTCATCATACCTGCAGGGAAGAGGATAGAGTTGCATGCATTTGATTCCTTGCATGAGAGCAAGTCATGCAGTGGACCAGTCACATGTCTCTGTCTGACTCACCCTGCATTCCTAGTGGTCTGCCGAGCTGCTTGGCGCTCTTTCCTCTTCTTGTCTGGGGGCTTTGCCAGGACGATCTCAATTTCCTCTCCTCCTAGCTCCTTCCCGTTCATTTCATCCATTGCCTAACCGAGCGGAAACAATCCATTACTGCAATGTACACAGAATAACAACACATGCAAAATGTGTTAACCAAAGCATGAAAAACCCACCTTCACCGCAGCATCCCTTTCTTCAAAGTGGACAAAAGCGTAGTCTTTCAATTTCTTCACTCGCTCCAGCTTCCCAAACTGAGAGAAGGTCTTCTCAAGGAGCTCTTCAGTCACTGCTGTGGCCAGCTTCCTTACAAAGAGCACCTTCACCTGTGATGGCAAGAAAAACCCCATGTTCATTACCTCAAGAAGACAGCATGTTTGTGGTATACTAAAGAGCAGAACAAAAACATTGCTAACCTTGGCCATGACCTCTGGATCTGGTTCGGCAACAGGGTCAGCCCACTCCACAGTGACTGGGTTCCCCCACACCTTGACCTTGCCACTCATTAGGCGGCGGCGAGCCTGTGCTGCAGACTTGTGGTCTTCGTACTCCAGAAAACAGAAGCCACGGTTCTTCTTCTTGTCATCTGGCTGATGGTACAATATCACCTCCTGGAGACCCTCTGCAAGGTAAACAATATTTCAGTCTATCCTCTTTCATGACTGATCATTTGTTCCTGACACAAATCCATTCTTGTGTGTTTGAGACAAACCTGTGACTTTGCCGAAGTCTTCCAATATACTTTCTCTTGTCTTGTTCTTTGGAATTGATCCGACAAACAGGCGATTGTTTGCAACAGATATACACACTCCCAAGTACTTGCCAGGGCGGATTTCATGGTTATCACACTGAATATGGAACAAAGAGAACAGACACATTATCAACTGAGTGACATGAATTGCAAAAAATATTTGAAGCATGAAGTCATTAGAACCTTCTTTAGAGTAAATCTCCTTTAGTACATCAGACTATTTTCCAAAATGTGGGCTGAACATGGTTCTACTGAACCTGCCGTACTACTTACAAGCTTCACAGCCTTTTGTGCATCATCCTTATTGCAGTATGTGATGAAGGCATAACCTCTGTTCTGACCAGACAGAGGGTCCATCATTAGCCTGAGGTCCCATATGGGACCAGCAGACTCAAAGAGTGGCACCAGCTCATCTTCATACAGATCCCTTGGGATTTTGCCAACAAACACCTGATGAAGAGAAAAAGCACAATATATAATATAATAGCATGATATTTAAAATTCTTTATGATTTATTATTCAAACATCAGAGCCTTGAAAACCATGACAGACTGGTTACAGCTATCTCCATCAATGTTCTACCTCAGTTCCAATCCCTGGCTGTGTTCCTTTGAACACGTCCTCAGGTGGGGGGCCTCCATATTTCCTCTGCCCTGTAGTGACGTCCAGGGTGTAACCTGTCCTCTCCAATAGAGCCTGGAAAACACACAAAAAACAAACATGAACCGACCTGTGGCAGCAGAGGCATGTTTAAATGACATTGACGCTGACCGTCTACACAAAAGAGCTCAGCCAATTCACTTTGTTTACCTTTATTTTAGCCTCATCTGGGCCCTTGGTGGACTCTTGTACTTTACTTCCTTGTTTTTCTCTCTGTCTGTAGGTCTTCATGACTCCACAAAGGAAAGCACTTTTGTTCTACATTAAAAAAAAAAAAAAAAAAAAAGCATATTACTGTGTGCAACATTCCACATTAACATAAAACTCCTCTCAAGGGCAACAAGGGATGTAATCCATCCATGTGGGTACCTGTACGTGGGACAGGTCACTCTCTTTGAACTGCTGCAGCACAGTGAGCGCTCCCTCCTCATTGAACTCCCGCAGTGCATCAATAGCCCTTTCGTCCAGGTCGACATATGCCACCAAGCCTGGAGTCACAAGACACGTTCACCGTCAGACTCGGCTACACCGGACACCTGTATCACTCACACCGAGCACATGACACTGACATTGCAAGCACCCACCTGTCTGGAAGATGTTATCTAGACTTTCAGCCACCTTCTGGGGCAGCCCGGCATCAATGAGCGTCTGGTAGTTCTCTGTGTGTGTTGTTGTCACATCCATGGGCTCTTCCTCCTCCTTTGCCGGGGCAGAACTACCGTTCACCTCAGCGGCAGCCATTCTCCTATAATGCAACCAAAGAAAAACTGTCATGTTAAATTATGTTTCCTATTGAGGAACAACAAATACAAGCATGCACTGCTCTGCATTGCACGAAAGTTTTTAACAATAACAATGTTGATGTCTGAAATTTCTGTCCAGCCTTTTAAACCCATTACTGCAGTGTTAGATTTCAATACAGGGCAATTGTGGCGCTCAGAATAGCGGCAGCTGCACACATGGCACATAAACACCGTTTTATAATGTTTACCCATTGTAAAGGTAACACAATCTGGACACTTGAAGAAAGCACCGACAGCCACAGTCCCGCCCCCTTCACATGCAGCTTGCTAAGCTAGCGGTATGATCACATCTCTGTAAATCTACATGCACAAGCTTTTACTGGATTTCTACAGTCGGATAACGCTGCAAAGTTAACAATTCCCAGCACTTGACAAACACACGCGCGTTATTCTCATTCCAGGGCAGACAGGGATAGCGGTTAGCGCTCTGGCTAGCTAACGAGCTTATACGAAGGCCGCGCCGTGCAGAAAGACACCTCTCACAAATCAAACACACACGCTCCGTACAGGGTGCAAACAGATAGTTAGCGAAACTTACCAGTCTAATTCAGGCAACTAACTGCGGTGCGTGCTAAAATGTGAAACGATTAAGTTGCCGGACATACAAAAATGTCTAATAAGAAGAATAACGTTTGAGTCTAACCCACGAGACAAATTTCCAGACAGCTACGGTCTCGTCGTCGGCTCGCCCGAACAACGCCACCGCTCGGCAACCATCGCGAGATGTGAAGGAAAAGTCGCGAAGTGAGGCTGGTGTGTTCGTTTCCCCCAAGCAGGACAGCCGTTTTCAGGTTGTGTATGAGAAGCAGAGAAATGTTTTAATACAAATACCTACTTCACTAATGGTACCGAATAATGTCAATCAAATGCCAACAAGTTAATTAGTGATAGTTTGGTCCCAGCGAAGTAGACGTGCAATTCAAACTACGCGGGCAGCGCAGGTCCACAAAACAAGCGCTTCCACATCAACACTCCAACCAGAGAGGTTGAACTTTGACTGGCACGACTTTAGCCCAATAAAATGCACCTGTTTGTACTCCATACAGGATCAGCCTCATTTTTCTGGACTACTTTAAAGCGCAATGAATGAGTGAGTTTAACAACAAAAGAGGGATAGGCAATGATTCACACAAATTCCAAAGCTTTAAAAGAATGCGAAAAATTAATTGCTTTATTGTTGTTGTTTTTTTTTTTTTTAAAGTTTTCATGGTGATGTCAGTATGACGTCTCACAGACCTCAGGACCTGCCTTGACCAGTAGAAGATCAATCATTATCTGATAATCATTGACTTGTTAATAAGAAGGTTGGATTCTCAGGAGGAGGAATCACAACAAGCCTCTGAGCTTCAGTCATCGTGTTTGAGCTTTCGGATTTTGCCCTGGTGGCGGTTGATCTCCTTCTGTAGGCGCTCGATCTCCTTTTTGTGGTGCTCAATCTCCTCTGCATGATGCTTTCTCAGCGCCTCCATCTGCTCCCTTTCCTTCTGCCTGCAGGGGGGCAACAAAATGAAGAGAAACTCGGTTAAAAAGGTGGAAAACTAAGGATACAGGCACGAGTGCAACTACTAATACAACGTTGTTGCTCACCTGAAGTACCGCTCCTCCTCTGCTGCTTCTCTCTTTCCAAATGCACCTCCTGCCTCCCTTATAGAGCCTCCTCCACCTCCGCCTTTCCCTACTCCCTTTCCCAACTCACCAAGCTGGAAGACACAGAGGTAATATTATATGTTGACGCAAAAGCATCACAATGTGTAGTAGTTGTAATTCCAAGTCTTTCCTTTTCTTTGTTATATAAAAAGTTTTGAAAAGACCCTTTCAGGTTTGCAAAGTTAAGGAAGTTCACTTAATTTGTTTTCCTTTCTACCCATGTAATGAATTCACAATAAGTATAAAAGGCTCCTACAGCAGCAAGCTTTAGAGTTGCCTCGTTTTCTGTATTCACTGGTTATAAAATGTGATCTAATCTTCTTCTCATGCACAAATATAGATGAATACTATGTGCTTTAGTTAATAATGCACAAACTTTTATAATCTTTATTGTGCACACCCACAGCTCATTGGATTTAATAACTGGTCAAATCTTCTTTTGACCTACACGATGAGAATTTTTGATCACTCTTCCTTTGCAAACTGCCTCAGCTCAGTGCTACTCTTTCTGGTGTGAATGATCAAAGGCAATTCCACAGCATTTCTTTTGAGTTAGGGTCTGACTGTTTGTTTTTTTTGGAAAGCAGTGGCTTTCTCCATCGTGTCCTGCCACGCAAGCAACCGTACATCATGATTTGACTCACAAAAAGAGGTGTTTACCTGCCCCAATGCCTCCTTTAAGCCTCTTAAACGTCTTTTTTTAAACTCACTGAGTATTCTGAATTGTGCCTTTGGAGCCATCTCAGGTCAGCACCTACTTGGAAGGAGATGCTCCCTGTTGCAGACAACCTGCAAGCTGACCGATCCGAGATTAATATTAGGAGCTTTAGTTTAAAAAAAAAACAAACAAAAAAAACAACTAGACTTCTCTTTTAGGATCCTAAAAACATTTCAGCTGTCTTCCAAGAACTAAAGGAGCCTCTTGAATGAGAAGTGGAAGGTCTTCAGGAACCAAAAAGAGAAGTCCAGTTGTTTTCTATTGAAGCCTCTGAATGAGAATCTACTCACTGTGTAACCAGCTTTATGCAAAAAAAAACCTATTTCTAATTTGTAAGTCTTTTGAGCCCACCAAATTCTGATTCACTGACTGGGTTTGCCAGCTCTTGTTAATCTGTGAATGTCTGTATCCAGAACATTACAATGATATATGTGTGGCTGGTTCATAACTGTCACTCAGGTGAAGATTTGGCCATAATATAGGACAAATGTTTTAAAAAAATGCAGGTTTCAAAAGCTTCACTTACTGTTTTCTTGACACTGTATTTGCTCACATTATAAACAAATGCACTAATTTAAATTCTCTCTGATTGTCTCCAACTAATACCAACAACTGAACAACTGATTATTGCTGCACACTTGGGTAAATATCTCCATAAACCAACTGATATAGAGACAAAAACGTGAAATGAGTCCTATATGATCCATGCATTTCAATGTCTGTTACTTACATTAAAGCCATAAGGAATATGGCTGCTTACATCTTTTATTTAATCACCAAATATATTGATTTTTTGAGAGTCTGCAGGTGAAAGTTAGCTTGTATGGCTCAATGAGGCACATTTACATGATGCAACCAAGTGTGTATGTTACCTAATGTGTTATTTCCCTTCTTAATTAAAGCCAAAAGCAGAAAAGAAAATCAAGATAACGGCTGGCTGCACAAGCAGTTAGCAACCAGCAGGCTTCGACCGACCATTATTGATATGGCAGATATTAGCAAGCTAATGCTAACATCCAAAAAAGTGTCCCCGGTGCAGCAGAGTTTACCTGATCGGATGCCATCCTGATCTGAGAGGCGACGCACCTCCGCAGGTCGGCTCTCAGGAGAAGTCTTGTCATGACAGCTCAGAAATGAATGAGTGTCACTTCGAAATACACGGAGAGAGAAAAGTTCAGTGTGCCTCTCTTGGTGCCTCAAAATGCGGAAATTTGAAGTAAACGTCTGAAATGGGCGTGGAGACAACTTTCTGCGGCGCTGCTGCCTCCAGCTGGTGAGGGGGGAGAACTGCACCCAGTCGTCCTCACGTGTTCATCTCATTCCATTAAAGAAAAGGCAAAATTCACAATAGTCACTCAAATAACTAGAAACTGAAAATAAATAAATAAATAAAAATTTTCTAAATGATAATTTAGTGAAAAAAATATTGCTTTTGAATTGTGGTTGAAAACAAAAACAAAAAAAACAACAAAAAACTGACAAATTAGAGCACTTTGCTGATGAGCAGTGGGCCAGAATACCTGTCAACAGGTGCACAAGTCTGACTGAGAGTTACAGGAAACACATGATGGCAGTGATTGGCTCAAAGGGTTGTTCAACAAAATATCAGTTTACGGGTCCCATCATGCTTGTTTGCTTTTTGTTTGTTTGTTTGTTTTAAAAAATATATTTCTGTTGAAGCACGATTCAAAAGCAATGTCATGATTTTCATTAAATTTTTATTTATTATTACTTTCGTCACTTTCAACTTATTTCAGTCACAGCTGTTTTTTTCCCCCCTTCTTTAATGGGAGGGTATGAATAACTTTGAGGATGACTGTACACTGTGATGGGTGAGGTGAAATTTAATTAGTGGTGGAAGAAATATTCAGATCCTTTACTGATTAACTAACTGATTTGCTCCCTATGACTGATGTGTTATTAATATAATTTATATAAGCCTTTAATAATCCCATAGTGAGGACATTTCAAGTGATGCAGCAGCTAATGGGATAGTGCAAACATGAGCAGAAGAAAAAATAAACTAAAATATATATAAGCACTGATTGTTCCACATGTGGGTATTCAGATATTGCACAGATTTCTCTCAACACATTATACACGGCAACATTATTAGATTATTAATATTAAGGAATCTATGGCATGTTTTACCTAATTAAGTTTTGTACACAGGGCAGCGCATAAATCTGAAGTGTTGTGACAAATCTGTTTCGAGTACGTGAACTTTTTCTATAAGCTTAGATTTTTGCTGAGATACTGGATTGTTAGAACATTTCTGAAATAAAACTATGTGAGAAGTTTAAGGGGGAAAAGAAAACGTGACCCTGACTGCTTTTAGTTAAGAAGCCCCGATAGTTGGAACCGACTGGTTTAATCCTCTGCGATGTCTTGTTTTGTAAAAGCTTCGTGTTAAACCTTTTTCCTAGAAGTAGCTGTCTGGTTAATGTAGATGAGTAGAAATCTTTCCTAATGAAATGTGTTGGAGTGAGTGTGTGAAGTGGCATAAAATGGAAATACTCAAACTAAGTGAAATTGCACTTAAGTTCAGTGCTTCAGTAAACGTACTTTCCACCATTGAATTTAATTTCTAGTTTGACATACTTTCTTGTATAAGTAGGCATTACACTATGTTTACAGGAGATCTCCTGGAAAGAAATGTGGTATAAATGAAATAAACAAAGAACCGTATCACTGAACGTTATCATATCTTTTATATTCAGGTTATTTTGAACTGCTTTCTTGTAGAGACTTTAAATTTGTTCCTGTTTGCCTGACCTGCAGTGTGCTGACTGAAAGACTGTATGTTGCAATTATGTTGATAATTGTCATTTGAGTTCGTGTTTTCTTATAATCAGCACCAATTACACAAGTCAAAAACTAATACAATAAAGCATGACTTAATCCTCATGCAATATGTTCAATGAAACTTTTCTTATTGCTATGTTGCTAAACGGGCTGCAAGGTGGCTCGGTGGTTGCCTCACAGCAAGAAGGTCGTCGGTTCATGTCCCAATGAAGACACCCGGGATCTTTCTGCGTGGAGTCTCCATGTTCTCCCCGTGCAGCGTGGGTTCTCTCCGGGTTCTCTGGCTTCCTCCCACAGTCCAGAAACATGCTAATGATTCTAAATTGTCCGTGAGTGAGTGTGCTTGGTTGTCTGTCTCTAAGTGTAGCCCTGTGATAGACTGGCTACCTGTCCAGGTGAACCTGCCTTCACCCTGAGTCAGCTGGGATAGACTCCAGCCCCCCATGACCCTGGTGAGGACTAAGGTGTAGAGATGATGGATGGATGGATATTGTGCAGAAATAAGCTATATTCCTAAAGTTTATATTCAGTTTTCAGCGTGATTAATCCACAATTTCATCCATCGTTTCACCCAACAGGTCAAGCATTTACAAACATTACATTAATTCTTGCCTGGTATCAAATCTGACAACAAAGATAAGTGGGGAAAACACGCAAGCTGTCGTCATCTGTGGCAGATTCTGTATTTGTGTCTGATGCAGGTAAACTTTTCAACAATATGAAATACAGACAGAGAGTGCTCATCTCCTAAGTGCTGAATGAGACGCACTCAGCGGCACAAAGGGGAGAGCGTTGCACGGTGAGGACATGTGGTGGGTGTTCAGTACAAATGAGTCATAATGGAGTCCCATTGATAAAGAACCCCGCCCCACTCGACAGTACTCACCCCAGCATGTTGTGGTGTGAGCTCACCGTCCCCGACACTCCCTCTTTCATCTTCGGAATCCAGCAGAGTTGAGGGTCAACAAGCAAGTGTTGGCGTGGTGCTGTTGTGATGACGTGCTGTGTCCCTTTATCAAGCTGTTGAGTTCGGCAGTGGCCATGATGATGTGGAAGTAAAAAAAAGAAGAAAAAAAAAGCACTCAAACCTGTTGGGCCAATGTATTCTGTGCAGCTTCCTCAGCCTGGAAATAAGAAGGGCAGAAAACACAGAGATGGGATGCATGAAGGTTTGTATACAACCTGGAAACTGTGCAGTGAAATGTGAAGAAGGTCAACGAGAAAACACTTGTGTTGTTTGGTTTCCAAAGCAAAGAAGGCCTGTTTCCATTCCCAGGTTAGATCTCACAATTTTACAGGCAGACTTCGAGCATTTCTTTATACACATCAGTGAGAGGAAGCTGCACAGCTGAGGTAGTAACAGTCTTGGAACAAATGGTGGCAGTGTGCACTCATACAGATGGACGACATCTGCTCTCACACACAGGGAATATAGAATAAGCCACCTTTAATATAGTTATTTAGTAAGTTATGGTTTATTTACTCCGGAAATCTCATTGCGATCGAGATTTCTTCTGCAAAAAACATCACAAAAATGAAATTCATCTACAAAAACAGCCACCTCGCGCGTACAAAAACACGCCGCCACGCTAATTGAAGCAAACATCATTATAAATATGAGCTGGTAAAGCTTCAAAGTCTCTCGGAGGAGCGAGCGTCTTAAACTTTAAGCTGTGCTGCGGCGTTGAGGTGCATATACCGAGAATGTTCTCCTGTAATGGACGTCAGCAAGTGCCGCTCTCATTTTGCTGCAAATGAGGATAGAAATTGAGGTTCTTATAGAAAAACGAATGATGCAGTGCAGCAGTCATTACTGGACAGAACGCTACCGTATTTCCACAGAGGGAACTAACTCCGCTGTATTTCTCACATAACTCCACTGCGACAGCCACGAAGGAAATAATGTATGAGGAATGCTTCAAAAATACAGTCAAAATGAGCAGCATTTTTGCACATTTCTTATTGAATATGCACATGTTTGCCATCACTTATGAGCACATGTTAAATTGAGGCTGTTTTTACTTTATGTTGAGAGAAAATATCAGCTGCTGCACTGAGTCAAGCTGAACTTTGAGGGTTGTTTCTGTGTGCTGGGGTGCATTTCTTTTTCCTTCTATGGTCATATACGGACTTCCGGTCCACAGGATGCATAGCAGCAAGTTACCTGAATCCTTTCAGAGCTGCTCACCTCGCTGGCTCAAGTGTTGCCATAGGAAATAGTATCCTGGCAACAGCACTAACCTGAGCAAAGACAAAGTAAGGTCATGCAGACAACAAGATGTGGCACAGTGTTCCTGTATTAACAATCCGCTTTCAAAACCTCTGCTTGCAAGGACATTCATTAAAATTTCGTCATCATATCCTTTCAGCGTTTTGCATTTTCATTCCGTATAACATTTAACGTGAACTCACATTACATTTGCATGGCTCCATTTGCCAACCTTTTCAGTGCAGGCTTTTATGAATCCACATGTTTGGGTGTCATGCATAATGCCTGTAATCTGCTTCCCTTTGCCAGTGCATCGATAATTTCACGAATTAGCGATCCCATTAGAAATTTATTCATACCTCTGGGAAAAAAAACGCGTGTTGATATCACCTCTGTATCCGAACCTTTTGTTTTGTTCCAACACTTATTATTGAGACAACAGCATCGTGTTCGCGTGGAGTTACTTAGCGTGAGGCACTGAAATGGCAAACATGCTTCTTTTGTAAAAAACCTCACCTTTGCTCTCTGCTGGTAAGATCCAGTAACCTTACTGGAGTTCCCTGGATCTTGGTAGAACTGGTTTCATGCACCTGCAAGCCGGATTCTTTCACATCTCTTGGAGACTTTAAGCATCACTGTCTGTTGCTTTCTACGACTCTTGCAATTATTGTTTTTGTGTTAATTCTCGTGATTATCTTGCCTTAGCTGTGTTCTGTTTACCTTATCGAGCGAAGTTTGTGCGGTTGCATAAGAGCTGCAATTCGAGGAACTGTAATGTTTTGTAATATTAAACCTTTGCTTTGTTCTTCAAAAGTATTAAAACTTCCTGATCTCCTTTGTGTGCGTTCGGCTTATCTGTTTCTCAGGGTCTGCTGGTGCTGAAGCTCCTGTTGCTAATAGCCCTCATGAGCCGCCTGGATGCTGGCACTGTTGCCATGGCGACCGTCGAGATTGATAAAGGGGGGTCCAGATTCTCTGTGTTCTGTACATACAAGGTCTTTTGGCTCAGTCACAGCGGGAGACATTACCTACTGGCTTCATAGGCGGCTTGGCAGCAATTAAAAGGGAAATCGACTCATTTAGCAAACTGAGTGCATTGTGAAGGATGCGTCCAAAAACTAGCTGTTAGCTCTTTTGAAACATTGAGATAATGGTCACTTATTCCAAACTTGGCATCCCAGACTCTCCTGACTTCACTGACACAAACATTATG